AAAATAAACTTAATAGCGTCTAATCCAAGGTATATCATTTTTATTTCAATTATCATGTTAAATTTAAAATAAAACTATCACTAGAATATTTGTTAACTTAAACATATTTTATTTTCACTGTAATAAAACTATTGTTATAATTTTTTTAATATTATAAAATTTGTTTTTCAGAAAAATTAGTTATTTTTATATGTTTTTTCAATTTAATCAAAAGAGTTTGCCTAACGCAAAAGTGTATGGTTACATATATTTTAGTAAAAATAAATTGGGTTAAATTTTAGTTATATACGATTTTTGTGTATCTTTAATATTTAGAGAGATATAATTATTGCAAAAAACATTAAAACGGGATTTTTTCACAAAATGTTGATTTTATCTAGTTTTTTTAGTTTTTTCAAAAAAATATTGAGTGTAAGAAAAATTTGTAAGAAAACATTTTTTAGTAAATAACGAATTCTATAAAAAAGTTCTTAATAACTTTTAAGGAAAAACCAAATCTTGCGCAAAAATATTTAAAAAAACTAAAAAAATTTACATTTTCTCTAAACTTTGAGCTTAAAGCGCGCCCTGTTAATCATGTTATATAAATCGAAAACTGTGCAGATTTTATTTTTAGACCCATAGGAAAAGTTTCCCGGTCTGCACTACTCGAATTTTAAGACTTCAAAAATAACGGGCACCCTAACCTTCACACTACACCCCAGAAACAATCCACAAATATTCTTCAATATTAAAATTCTACCCTGCTCTCAAAACGTCAAATATCTTGGACTAACCTTAGACCGCCGGATCACATGGTCTGCTCATATTATACGCTCCAAACGTTTAACGCTCAATGATTGTAGCCGCCAGCTGCGATACCTACTGCTACTCACAGCTAATTGTATTAAAATACATAGTAAAATATTATTGTAATCTCAGCACATTTACCTTCGCTGACCTAATCCATCTCAACATTAAAATATTCCCACATTTTTTACATTTTTATTATTTAATATTACATTGAAAATATCGTATACGCACCTTTCAGGTGGTATACCTCTATTGACACTTGAGTAACCATAATACGATAAATTAGCCAGTTACAGTTCGAATCTCAAAAAGTCGATATCGCTACCTTACTGCTTAGACTTTCAATCCTCAACAACTATAAATCAACCGGTTTTAGATCAGATTGAAAGAATACAATTAACGTAGGACTACCTTCACCGTTTAAACCAGGGGTATCCAACCCCTGCCGCATGCAGCCCATTGTAGATTTTTATGCTGCCCTCACTTCAATTTAAAAACCATGAATTAATTGTATATAATATATTAATATAACGAGAACAAATTTATTTTAAGAATAAAAAATTATAAAACATCAAATAAACTGTAAAGGCCGATGCACATGTTTATTATCAACAAATATATTTTTCTGTGTACTTATAATGAAATATAAATAATTAATACTTGTAAAAATATTTCTGTTTATTATTCGATATAGTAAAATTATAAGAAATGTATTGTTGTATTATAGAATTTAATTTAATCGTTAAATTTAATGTATTATTATTAAAAAAAGTAAGTAAACTTCTACCTATATGATGTGGCCCAGTCTTCACAAAAGGTTGGACACCCCTCACTTAAACCTTAAATCCTCAACAACAATAAATTAACCGGTTACATATCGGATTCAAGGAGTACTGCAGAATTGTGTAACTATTCATACAATAGATATATTTTGTGAGCTTTCGGCCTTTTTAAGGGCTTACTGACCACCCATCACACAAGGGGAACACTTATGTGATGACCCATAGACYKAACCGYGWGGTGTCTTKTGGACATGTCGGTAGAATCTATGGGTTTTGATACACACAGTGGGAAATGAATCCCAAAGATTTATTTAAAAGGGAAAACAGTAAATAAAAATAATATTAATAAAAGAAAATATGTGGCAACATGTAAGG